AGCAGAAGCGCGTAGCCTGCGTAGCAAAGGTGTGGGGCCTGCGAAAAACCAATCGATTGGTGCACTGTCGCCGCGGTTACCTTGTCCAGGCTATCCGCGGCGACCTGTGGACGTTGGCTCGCCTTCTGGCTCGCCGTCGGCCGACCCCCCGTCGAGGGTCTTGCGCCGGGTCGCGTGGTTCTGCCCTGTCCAGGCAGGGCCCCGCCCCTTGTCCAGGGACTGCGGCTGCCGCGTTGGTTTGCCTTATCCAGGCAGGGGCCCGTTCCTTATCCAGGATTTGCGGCTGACTTGGGTTTGCCTTGTCCAGGCAGGGGCCCGCTCCCAATCGGGGAGCCGAGCGTTTGCCGCGCGGGCTTGCCTTGTCCAGGCATGGGTCCCGTTCCTTATCCAGGAAATGCGGCCGCATTTGTGGGTTTGCCTTGTCCAGGCAGGGGCCCGCTCCCTATCCGGGGGCCGAGCTTTGCCTCGTTGGTTTGCCTTGTCCAGGCAGGGGCCCGTCTCCTTTATCCAGGAACTGCGACTGGCTTGGGTTTGCCTTGTCCAGGCAGGGGCGCGCTCCCTTTCGGGGGGCCCAGCGAAGGCGCGGGCGCCTATTGCACAAGGACCTTATGCCCTTGTCACCGCTCCCTTTCGGGGGGCCCAGCGTAGGCGCGGGCGCCTAGTACGCAAGGACCTTTTTGCCCTTGGCACGGTTTTCCCTTGGCTCTCCTGGAGGGCGGCAGCAGACCGGCGCCAGCGGCAAATCGGCGGCGGCAAAGCGGCAGCGGCGCAGCGGAGGAAGGCGGAGAGGCCGCGCGCGCACAATTGTGGGCAGTAGGCGAATGAACCAAACAGGTTAAGGTCCAGGAGCCCGCTCCTCGCGATTCTCCTGCTCCAGAAACCAGAGATTTAGGGATTATGAAAAGGTGAGGATGAGAAGGAGATGAAGAAGGCTGAGGAAGAGAAGAGGGAGGAGAAAAAGGAGCAGGCGGAGGATAAGTAGGGGGGGGAGGAAGAGGAGGATGACGAGCAGGAGGGGGAAGGGTGGAGAGAGAGAGAGAGAGAGAGAGAGAGAGAAAGAAGAGGGACGATGATGATAATAAAGAGCAGGAAGATGAGGATAAGTAGGAAGAGAAGGAGCAGGAGGAGAAAGAGGAGAAGGAGCATATGAAGAAGGAGGAGGAGGAGACGGGGGAGAAGGAAGATAACGAGGAGCAGCAGTACTAATAGTTGTTTGGTTCCAGCTCTGGTCGCAGACCGACAGATACTTGCAACGAGTGCTTCTGATAATCTTCTTTAAATTGCTCTGCCGAGGAGCTCCAATCTCATCTGCAGCTCGAGCTACATCAAGAAAAGGCATCGTCATCTCTGGAAAAAGAAACAAGAATACAACTAGTTTTCTGGTTCCAACTCTTGGAAGCAGACCGAGTTCGGGCATGTATGTATTCGAGACTAGCGCGTCTGATGATTTAATTTCGATCGCTGTGCCAAACAGCTCTGTAGCTCATCTGCAGTCGAACTATCTCAAGGGTCTCTGAAACAAATAGCAGAGTACGAATAGTTTTTTTCGAATCCAGCTCTGGTGGCAGACCTAGTTCGGGCATCTAGATGCTTGGGACTAGCGCTTCTGATGAGTTCCTTTCGATTGATGTCACAGAGTTTCGTAGCTCATCTGCAGCTGGTGTTGCACCCAGAAGCTCATCATCACCTCTAACAAATAGCATGGTACCAATAGTTTCTCGGAGCCAGCTCTCGTAGCAGAACGAGCTCGGGCATTTGGATGCTTGAGAGGGGCGCGCCCTCGCGGAGTGCTCTGGTGAGCATGGCCGACGCGCCTAAGTCGGGGGTGCTTGTGCCATGCCACTGGTGCCCAGCCAAGATGCGCGGAATGCGCACACCAACGCCAACCCCACCCTGGAGGGGGAGGAGGAGGAGGAG